CAATCAGAGCGGTATAAGGTTGAAGACCCAAATCTTAACCTTTTTTGGCTTAGCAATCTGTTCAAAGAGGTCAAACCGGCGTGCAATCGCTTCTGCAATTCTGAAGTGAAGGTACGTTTCGAGGGTTTTTTCAAAAACTTCGTTACTTCGAGAGATTCCGTTTCAACAATCACGAGTCCCTCCAGAATTCTACATTTGACCTTTCTGAAATGGACTTCATTTTGCTCAATAGCCTCGGAAGATCAAAGTCAAATAATATTCTTTCTCCTACACGGAACCATTCCAATCCCTCGTCCCCAGAAACTGGAAGAAATGGTTTGCATGGGCGCTAGCCGATCCTAAGGTGATGTTGTTGTACGGAGTAGTAGAAGCTGTGTCATTTCCACCAATCTGAAACTGGTTCAAGAGAGCTCCTTTGTTTTCACAATTAGTGTTACGATAAACGCCATAAAATGCAGGCTCATAAGTCGTCTTTTAGCTTCTTCCGGATGCCTTCGAAATCACCAGAGAAAAAAAGAATCTTACAAATAGAGTTTACTGGCTTAGTGACGGCTCACAAGATACCGAGCTGGTAGTTGAAGTTAGCTACTGTACAGGCGCTTTTTGTTATATCAAATTGCCCATTTATAATAGTTTTTGCAGGTATTCCAGCTCAACAAGGGGACAACATTCAGCCAATTCCCTAAATTTTATGGATTTCGAAGCACTAATCAGATTAATTTATTATATGTCTAACGACCGTGTAGTTAAGCGTCGTCTAAATGGCTGGTTAGTTCGAAGCGCATCCGGAAGAAGTTTGAAGACGATTTATGGGCCTGTGTTTTATGGCGTTTATCCTGACACTTGTGAAAGCAAAGAAGCCCTCTCGAACCGGTTTTAGACAAAAAGCTATAAAACTTTGTAATAATCATTAGATGAAGTGATGCAGTGCGTACTACTCCTTACAGTAATTACCATTACCATGCGACAACTGAGGATCAAGTTACACCCAGCTGACCAATTCTACGTCTTCCAGTTTCTGGGGCCAATTCATTGGATTGGGCGATTACTTACTCTGTTCTTCCGAGGCTATTGAGCAAAAAGGAGTATGTACGCCTTCCTTTTCTAGTGATTTCCAACAAGCGTTTTTGCCTCAAAGGCAGAGTCTACGGTAATTTTGGGGTATTCAGTTTAGGACGATTAATGGTAGTCAAACTAATGCAAAGACGGCGAAGAAAACGCGAAAACCTGCGTATTTAGGGAATAGTAAGGCATCAAGAACTTATAAAATTAGAGGTCGAACGAAAATGGGACGACAAACATTACATGGAAAGGGTTTTTGGACGAGCCGTCTGAATGTGTGTGCCATTGCGTACAGCTAGCTACAGAAAGCTACCTGAGTGCAACGTGTGCGTCTCGGTGCGATTGATGCAACCTTCACAGCCTCTACGACGCCGTGAGAACTCGTCCGCCTCGGGTGTGTACGTCCGTAAAGCCGGTT